CAGCTCGGTATCCTCAAGCCAGTTGGGAGGGGGTCATAGTACTACTTCAAGGGATGGACCAGCTGTATTAGAAAAAAAAAATGTCCAAATGATTAAAGCCAGTAGTAAACAGGCCCCCATACCAAATGTGTAATATAAAATCAGTCCATCATCCAACAAAAATTGAACACAATAACCTATGAACAACTAGATCAAATGTTCCATTGTAAGGAATTTACTTGTTAAACTACTAAATATACTGCATCTCTGTTGCAGTGGAACTAGTAGTAATGAAAAAAATCAACGGTTTACTGTATTTGTAGTACAGATGTTTCTGTACCACTGCTACTATGAACCTGAGAAGTTTAATTACTACAGAATATGTATAAAAAATTATGGTGCGGCACTGCAGGCTTGTTGTTCACAGTATAAGAAGAGAGCATGGCCGATGGATTGGTAAGGCCAGTGAAAAACCCACCAACCAACACTCTCAGGAAAAACATAACATCAGAAGTCAGTTGAAAACCACTCATTTTGGAAAAACAGAGCTTTGTAAACATGACTACCCATAAACAACAACAGCAAACAACCAAAGAAAAAAAAAACAGGTCAATGAGACAGAAAGAAAGGGATTTGGATGCATTAACAAAACAGGTAGATAAATATAGGAGCTCTAGTACTACTAGTAGTAAGAATAAGCCGGCAAAAGGCTCAACCACTGACAGGTGCCTTGACAATGGAAGTAGTGTTGGTTATGTAATTGCCAACCTCATCAGAAAGAACAAAGAATTGAAAAGGTTGTTGATTGAAAAATGAAACAAAAAGATTACAAGGGAGTCAAAAAAGAAAAAAACAGGTCACGGTTTAGTGGCAGGAACCACGCAAGGCACAGTTGTGGTTGCCATGGTCCCCGGTGAGAAAATATCTCCATTGAACAAGCAATTGCTGACCAGAAATTTTCAAGGGTACGTTGAATCCAAGTAGTAGTACTACTACTAGTACTAGTACTAGTAGTAATACTCTGTCACCATTCCTCTCCCACTAGTACTACTACTAGTACTACTACTAGTATCAATCCATATTGGTTTGCACAATTAAAAACAAATAAATTGATCACAAAGCTAGTAACAACTGGGTGGTTCTTATAAACTTTGGTTTGAGTTACATTCTATTGTTCTCCAACAAGAAAAGACTTCAATTCAAACAAGAACAAGAAGTACTACTACTAGTAGTACTAGTATAGTACTTCAAATTAAACAAGAAGTTCTGTCATGTTATGGTAGAATGAACACTATTACTAGCTACTTCATTTGACAACAACTAAAGAAGTATTGAGTAGATGGATGCAGAAGCATGATTCACCTGGTGGTGATTTTTGTAGTGACAATCATTTTTGGTAAAAATGGTGACAAGAACAACATCACACAAACTTAATCAGGAGTACAGGACATGTTGTGCGGTCAACGCAATCAAATATTTGGAGCCTACCATTAGTTTTTCAATGAAGAATAAATGTATTGAAATTTTTGTTACTCTCTTTTTGGAGAACATGATGTTTCTGGATTTGGAACTTGCTTATTCTCCTAAAAGTCACCCAACATTATGTTGCATGCATGAATAATAGCTACTCACCTCCCCAGCAAAAAACACTCTGGTTTTCTTTATAGCCATTATCTCAGACAGCATTCCCCACCATATCACTTCCCCTCTCTCCATACCTTAGTAGCAAATATGGCTCCACCATGTATGCTGGAGTTGTTCGGCCAAAATTGTCACCCATCCAGAGATAAATGTAACCAGAGTCCAGAATTCTTCAGTGCCAAACAAAACAAAAAACAGGAGCTATCAGTACCTCTTCAAAATTCTGACTTGTCTTGGCAATAGTATACTAATTTACTTTCAATATTACACTTGCTGTGAAGTTCTTTGGGGAGATGAAATTTTTGATGAACGAAAAGATCAACAAACATGTGTGTCAGCAGGCCATCAAGGAAGGATGGGTCGGCAGCTGCCAAGGGTTCAGTGGAGACGACGAACTTTGTCTGTATTTGGAGAACACCCTTTTACCACAGGTGCTCAACAGAATACAACACAACACTCAGAGCTGTGCCAGAAGAAAATGGCTTGGTACATGCTGAGAGATTAAGTGTCCTCTGGTGATCCATCTTCCACAATAATGGTCTAACGATTGACACCTTCAATTTTCTTTCTTCATCTGTAACAGAGGACAGTGAAAAAGGAAAGGTCCCAGACAGATTTCCAGGAACATTGAGAGTTTCTGATTGGGACATGAAGGATAAAGAGGAGAAGGTATTAGACGCAGACTCCAGAGCATACAGTATTGCAGACAATCTGGAGTTATATTATTTTGTTACAAGAATTTTGGCAGCCGTTAATGCTAGAAATAACAATTTCAACGGGAACACAAAAGGGAGGGAGCACTTGCTCAGTGAAATTTTCACTGTTGAGGACGAGGCATTTGTACTCCTGATACTTTACAATGAACTTCATGTATGGGAGTCCGCCCTTAAGAAAAAAAGATGGATTGTTTAAGTTGGAGCAAAAAAGATTTTGTGATGCAAAAAGCGGTAGGAGAGATGGGTGGGCTCGAGAGGGAAAGGTACTGTACCAAAAGTTGTGTGCTGAGATTAAGGAACTTCGACAGGACCCACAAACAGGAGAGGTGTTTGAGAAACAGATGAGAGAACAGTTCAGGGAAGAATGTAGAAGGAAGAATGGTAGAGCTGTACTACCAATGAACTCAGAACCAAGGGTTGACGTTACCATGATGGACGACATTCATATTTGTGAACAGTTCAGACACCTAACCGATACACCAGAACAGTGTGCCGGGGACAATTTAATCACAGGAATGGTGGGGAGTGTTGTGGAAGAAGTTTAGTATTCCATAAAAGCATTTGTAGAATTCATTCCTCAAACATAGTAGTAACACGGTTAGTCATGTAATTTCTCATCTGAAAGCTAGGGATGGCCACAGGCATTACATAAATTCGAAACTATAGAATAGGGAATCATTGTCGCACAATAGTGACCACAACAAGTTTATTTGAGAGTAATACTATTTACATGTGTACATCTTGCTTTTTCCATCCAAGAGTTGTGGTTGGAGGTTACTGTCATTGTAACAGTTGAGGTTGTGTACCCCCCAAAGTAAAAATATGGAGTGGAGGATGAGCGAGTATGGGTTGAATACCGGCAGAATAAATTTGGTGCGCAGAGTGAATGCGTATTGTGACGTAAAAATAATCACAAATAGGGGGTTGTCAGTAAGCTTGATAATCATAACTTCACCCTGTTAAGTGGTTGCACAAAAACTACATGCGCGGGGTTGCGACCAAACCTGCAAACACTTTTTGTGACATAGGTCGGAACCTATATAGATATATATGCTGTAGTTCTGGTCCCGGGGACTCAGTCTGCAATCCTATGTACTGTTGCCATGTACTGTTGCTACGTACTTGTTGTAGAAATTAATATAGAAAATGTAGCTAAAGTCCTGCTAACAGAGACCAAAGCCCAATGCCCTCTGCCAGTCATAGTAGTGGTAGTACTAGTGTATCATCATCAGCAGGATCTCCACCAGGAAGTCCAAGTGGTTGGTCCTCTGGCAGTCAGAGTGGACTGTCACCAAGTATTACTAGTAGTCAAAGAAGTGGAGGTTCAATTTTATTTTGTCTTTGTCACCAAGTGGATGCCCACCAGCACCTGGAAGTGCTAGTACTAGCAGTAGGAGGAGTGGATCTCCTTCTTGTACTAGTCCTTTTCTCCTGCTGTCCAACATTGCTGGGATCCCTTCAAGAGGCTCCCCCATAAATTTGCCAAGTGTATCTCCAATCAGTGAATCACATAGTACTACTAGTACCAGCACTAGTACTACTCAGCCAAGCATGGTGGCATGATTGTTGCCCATCAGAAATTGCGACCAAGAGAGCTAGTACTAGTACTAGTACTACTAGTAGTAGTTTTAGTATTCCATTGTTGCATTCAAATTGCTAGCATCAATTCAAATAGTGGTAGGTTGATTATTGTCAAAAACATTGCACCTCCCTCCAAATTATCATCCCTGATTATTAGTACAATTAGTACTAGTACTACTACTAGTAGTAGTAATATCAGTACCGTTGGCAATTTAAGGTTGGGGTTTTCATACGATACTGCAGTTCATTTTTGAAGTCAAAACTTTCGGATTTTGAATTTAATTTAAAATTGAAGAGCGAGAACGGAAACTGAAAGGGAGTCGAAACTCGATTTTTCTTTTCATTTCGCTCTCAATACCTTCCTAACGATGACAGTTTCAGAAGGTGATGTTTTGATTCAAAATTTTGTATTTTGTTTATGACGAAGATAGCTTGAATCCTCTACCTCAAACATCTTCATGACAAAATGGCAGGTCTAGGTCTACCTTTCCTGATAACGATGGCAACTAGTGCATATATGGTGCTTTTCCCCCCTGACGAGGGCAAAACAGACGGGTCTTCGTCGAGATGTCTATCACCGTCTACATCATTTGCAACCTCTGGCAGTAGAATCGCCAACAATCCGTTTTGGCTTGGAGTAGGAGTGGGCGTGATTCTCTCACGTGTCGCTTCGTATGAAATCAAAAGAAGACGTTTCTGGCAACGCACTCGTCTAAAATTCCTTTCTTGGCTTTATGACGGAGTGAGCAGTGCCACTGCAACAGGCGGAGAACCAAAGACAAGGCAAACACCGTTGCTGCAGAAGCTTCGAAAACCCTCCCTGATTTCAGAACTCAATGGGAATCCCTTAGTACGAAGGTCGGAGTCGGACGAAAATAAGGACAACAGTGTATGTGGTCAACACGTAGAACTGGTATCTCCAGACTGGGCTCTGTCTTCTGATTTGTATTGCGACATTGTGAGGTTACCATCAGGGACAGAATTGATGTCGAAAAATGCACCAGGCGTTGAATTTTACTATGTTTTAGAGGGAAATGGACAATATGTTGACCAAAATGGAGAAAAGCATCAGATCTCAGCCGGATTCGGATTTATCGTCGACCCAGAATGGTACGTCTAGACGGCATTCGTGTTCCCTAAGGATTTTGACACTTACATTAAAAAAAAACGCTTGTCATCATGAACTTCTCTGTGCTCACTTTTTCATTTCATACCACTGCAGTGCCCGAGGATTTCTTGTCGGGGGAATGAGTAACCTAACCTTGTTTCGTGCCACTGATGTGGCGATGTCGGATGGACACAACCATGTAGTGAGACTTCAAGCAAGTTCTTTGTCATCGGCTGCTGCCATTGTGAGAGCTGGACTGAGAAAAATTCATCGATTGATAGATGACAATCCATTGGCTGCAGCTTCAGACCAGACCAACAGGCTTCCACCATCGCCGTGTGAGGACTGAATAAGTACCGTATTAAGAACAATAATATTATGCTAGTTGTACATTTCTTATGATTGCTCAACATGTTGTTCAATGAAAGCAATTGCACGTAGCTACGAGCTACATATTAGTCTTTTTATTATTTAGTGTTTGTCGTGTCCCTAGAATGAATTCTGAATCATCTTCCTAGTCATAGTTCACACAGCCTCATGAGTAGATTGAATAAATCAGGACCACCTCGTTTTGTGTTCAAAGATTCTTTGCATACTGAATTGCATGAAGTTTGTTCAAACACGACAGAGAACTCAATGCACCAAAGACGGATATGAATTGCAAACAATTCCTCACTGCCTTCTCTCTGGTATTGATTCTGCGTAGCTACTTGTCGAGATATTGATAGCAACAAAAAAATATCAAATCTAAAATTCGGCGATTAACACAACTAAGCAAGTTAAGCTGCACGATACGACAGATTTTGCGAAGGACCAATACACAAGAAGAAATTCAGCAGTTTGGTCTTTCTGTCGTCGATTTCTTGTCGAAAGGTCAGATACCGTTTGAACGGCAACTAAATCTCGATGGCCGAAACGCAACACTTGTCATTCCTTCGGAGTTTTGTATCACGCGTTTCCGCAATCACGGAGCGAGCTCGGAGTTGGACATTTCTGCAGATGACGTTTCGGGCAATGCCTTGAGAACTTCGACGATGTTTCTCATCACATCAGATGTTGAAAGAATACCTACCAAGTTGTTGTTGTCGTCGACCACGCACAACCTATGTTTTTGCTTTTGAGTCAGCATCTCTGCAGCATCTTTCATATTTGTATCCATGTGAATCGTCAAGGCTGGTTCCGTTGCCAATTCTCCTACCGTCGTGGCAACAATTTTTCTAGCATTGATTGACATTTCCCTTTGGTTTTCGGGGTCTTCCATGTCGAAGGGAAGGAGCACCCCGGTTTCTTCCCTTTGGATGAAATCAAAAGCGCTGACGCAACCCACCAAATTATTCGTTATTGGATCGATAACGGGTGCGCCGTTGAATCCTGCCGATAGCAGGGCGACGATAGCATCTTCAATAGTGTCGGTACTTTTGAGTGTTTTGGGATTTGGAGTCTACAACGAATTAAGGCAGAGGAGACAATTAGAAAAGAAAGGGCGAGAATTCGAATGAAACCGCGAGCCATGTTTAATCTCGTCACTTTGCTCCATTGTAACCATGGTGGTATTATCTTACCATGCAATCTTGAACTAGGCGTGTTCTCGTTTTCGTTGGTGTTCCGACGAAGACTCGCGACGGAGTGGAAAAGGAATATCCACTTCCTATCAACATGAAAAACAACGAAAACAGGAGATACTTCATGGTACGAATGTACTGCGTGTTGTGCTCTTGGTGAATTTCGTCTCTGTGTTATTGGTGCGTTTCGTAGGGTCAAATAGAAGTTTGTGACTACTACTGTTCATAAATATTATTTGCGAAGAAATTGTTCTCGTCTCGAAAGATGTTAGGTGTCACGAGAGACAGAACGGTTCCTACTACGTACTGTACGATACGAAACGATACGATACGATGCTCGCAGGTGAGAATGTTATCGTTTCGTTCACTTGATTTCCCGCCCTTTTCGCTAAAGGAACGGATAGAAGATAGATAGCTTTTGGAGTACGGTTCGTAGTACAAACATCGAAAGAAGAAAGAACATGGTTGTCAAAGGTCAAAGAAGATATCCGACGAACGATTCATTCATTCGATTATTTGACGTTCATCGCTCTTGGCAGTAGAGTATAAGTTGGAGGAGAACAACGACGTTGCAAGCACCAGTGGTTTAGTGGTAAAATCCAACGTTGCCATCGTTGGGCCCCGTGTTCGATTCACGGCTGGTGCAAGTCTTTGCTTTTTTCGTCAAGCGGCACAATGTTTTCCGCGTGTTTTTTGAAACTCAATTTTTTGATACTCGATGCGCCAGAAAATTCAAAATTCACTACCGGTGCTTGTGACACCGACAATGAATTACTTGTAGAGGATAAAATATCCTTTTAGTTTCCTTCAGTACGTCAATCACTGGTAGGGTGATCTATGTTGGGCATGGTCTAAATGCATATTGGAACCACGCTTGTCAAGCTAAACGCATGTTTTTTACATTGAGGTTTCGGTACGTACGCGACGGCGAAACCTAGATGATCCGAAGGCATCTGACCCGACTCCTCACACCTAGATGATCCCAGGGCCGCTGACCCAACGGTGCACGGGTACGTGACTATTGCAGGATCTATTGCGACGACAATATAAGCAGCAGAAGCAACTTCCCGAAAGCACCATGGGAGCAACGATTGGAACGCCAATGGGCACGGCCTTCGGAAGTTTCATCCATAAGCTTCGGTCTCAGCACCGAGTCGATCTGGTAGTTTATCGATCGGCACATCGAGATTGGAGGAATCGTGTCATCCACTCGTTCTTAATACCTGTGGAGTGCTGGGCCGTTCTCCAATGTCTCTGGATTCTGACCGGACTGACCATTCGCGCAATGGCTCTCGAAACGGAAGAAGAAACGACAGGAAAACTTCTCGGCGAGATCGAGGACCGCCGTTTGGGTGTTTACCAAAGCATAGACTGGATATGGTTCGTGCCGAGGGTTGTCACCTTCCTTTTGGGATTTTTGTCCCTATTAATCGCAACTAAACCAACCAGCGGTATTGCGACATTTTTGTTTCATATCGTGGTTACAAAACTTTGCGACAGTTTGATGATCATAAGGGAAGACAGCTGGTTTCAAATGAGGTTGTGGTCTGTGTCGATACTCACCTTGACTTTCTGGACGCTGGCATGGATTGTCCAGGTCGGTGTGGGACACGCTATGTTCGAGAAGAATATTCCAAACGTTGCCCACGCTTCCCAGCACGTCTCGTGTTTGGCAATGTGCCAGTCGGTTCTAATTGCGTGGAGCAGCTGACGACAGGCTAGCCAGCAAGCTCGTTTGGATACCATGCTTTGTTTCCAGTACTTCATCGGTCCTGAGTATAAGCACAGCATAGCAAAAAACGACGCTGCAACAGGCAGAGAAAGAACTAATGACGACTTTACATATTTACGTATCATGACCAATATGCATTTTTTTTGTTTCTTGCTTCTTCTTCAATGAAGAAGAATGTATGATGTATCATGTGATGTGCATTACAACTAGCACTATGCCTTTTTTGCAACTCTTAAACTTTTTCCTCTTCCTTTCAAGGCTTTCATGTGGACTGGATCAATTATTGATTGGAAGAAAAAATGCCAGCCTTGGAGGTAATTGTGTCATGGAATCATTACTTGACCACCAAGGTGCTGGTAGAGCAGATCCCTAAAAAACATGGTGGTGGGAGATCTTAAGCATCACTGGTGCTATTGACAGTAGAAACCTGAGTCAAGATCCACAAGGAAGTACTACTATGGCCTAGTATCAATTAGCAGTAGTACTAGTACTGCTGGTCACATGCATTGCTTTTATTGTTGCATTCTTGCTGATTGTACAACTAGTACTACGAGTAAGCAACAACAAGCAATTATGGTTGAAGCAAGAAATGAAGTACTAGTACTATTATGATGGCTGGAAGAATGTAGAAGAAAAAGAAACTGGGAACCCAATTTATGATTCTTTGGCTGTTGATTAGTCGGACTCATATTTCTTGTTGTTCTTGCAACTCCTCATTTCTTGTTCTTGTTCTTGTTCTTCTTGTTCTTGTCTTTTTTTTACTAGTAGTAGCGATGGCAGCAGGAGTGCTAGTAGTATGAGAAGAACAAGAAGAATAGGATGCTTTGTTGCCCAACAATGCTACTTTCTACTAGTACTAGCCTAGTAGTGCAACTAGTACTTCTACTTCTACTACTAGTAGTAGTGCAAAGCATCTTGACTGTATGCTACTACTAGTACTACTAGTAGTACTACCAATGCTACTAGTACTAGTACTACTAGTACTAGCAACAACAATTGATGATGCTGGCACTCTATGCACACAAAAGAAGGAAGGGCAACAATAGTACTAGTACTAGTACATCAGATGAGCTAAAGGGCAACCTGCAAGTAGTGACGGCAGCTGTGTCCCAGTGTGGGTTTGCACTCAAATTTGCATCCAATGAACTTAAGAATAACAAGGAAGTAGTGACTGCGGCTGTTAAAGAATGTGGAAGGGCA